GGAAAGAGCTAGATAGGAAAAAAAAAGATGATCTATACTGTGTTCAAAGCAGATCTTTTGCCTCCACAGAGAGATAGGTAAGAGATTTCTATACATGGATCATATCACCTATCTTTGCTAATCATCTACTTCAGAGGGAACAGGGAGTGTGCAGCATCAGTTTACCAGTGCCCAGTAGCTCCATCCTGTAGCTTGAAGGGAAATGAACATGTAGGAGGGAGAAAAAATGGTATGCAGTTGAAGAGAAATAAAAGCAATGTACATAGTGATAAGATAGCTAGAAACATTTTGTTCCTGTAAATTGTGATGCAAATCATTCAGCAAAGCACTGAGGACATGGTACTCTGCATGAGTCTTCTCTTTTGGGGGCCTTATACATTTGTATATAGGGTTACACTTGTAGGTGGGAGAATGAGTGGGTGGACTGATCTATGAAGTGGGGAAAAATAGTTTATTATAAGCCCTAATGTTCCTAAAGGAAGCCACTCCTCTGAAGCTTCATCTACAGCTTGTTACTCAGAATAGAATTATTCCGAGAAGTTTGGAGATGACTTTTTAAAACTATAGTGTTTAAAATATTCCCTCACTATGGGGCTATTAAAAAATGTCCCTAACTCTAAACTGGCTCATCTCCTAAATGACCTGGCAGCAGATTTGATTCATTTGTTGGCCTTGCTGAAGGTTGATGACTTTTAGTGAGTATTTGGCATGGGGAAGTTAGGGAATTGCAGAGAGAATAAAAATAGCTCGTGATAGACTATCCACAGGGAAAAGGGTAATGATCCGCTCCTTAGAGCAAGGCAGAAAAGAGAGGAGGGGTTGAGAGCTGCAACAGGTGAGAAGGGCTGTGCAGTGTTGCTGGTGTTTGGCCAGTTGCAACCAAGAAAAGAGAGCAGGATGTTTCAAAGATGACACTGTATATATTAGTAAGCCTGTCAGACTTACTAAGGTTTCATTTTTTAACTCTGTCTTCAGCAAGTGAAGAAGGATACTGAATCTTCTTATGAGTATTGAGAGGGAACTGTGAGCTACAATTCCTGCCGATGTTTTGCTTGCAAGATTACAGTCATAGGGTTGTCAGGTTTTGTATGCAACTTCCCTGCTTGATGGTAGGGAAAATAAAGAATCTCCAAACAACAAACACACAATATATCCCCCAAACTAATTAAAATAGGAAAAGGAAAACAATCCCCAACCCTACATCTTCTTTCTGTTTACCTGCCTCCAGCATCCCTTCCCACCTTATTTGCTCTGCATGTGCTGAGTGAGCAAAGGCAGGGACCCCGAGCCCTGTTACACACTTTCGGCCTAGGGAGGGGTTGAGAAATAAGAGGATGTTGGCTAAGCTGGGACATGTGCAGTAATGAAGGGCAGCTGCTGCAAATTGGGAAAGGAAGGAACTGTGTTTCTGTGTTGCGTTTGGCCCTTAAGATGTGTTAGAAGCAAAATGGCAGTGCAGTCCATGCTGTGGGATCAGGTACCTGTACATCATGCCAGGAGGAAAGATCAGTTCCCTCAGGAACCACCACAGCAGCTCACCCCAAACTATCTCTAAAGCACTATGATGAGGGTGTCAGTGGGACTTGCAGGTTGCCCAGGGCTTTTAGTAGTCCTGGTACAAGTGCAGATTTTTCCTTTAAAGACTCCTGAAATGGAGCTCATCACTAGCTGGAACCAAAATGGGTCACATCCCCATTCCAATCTGCTCAGTTATACCAGTACAAATCCCCCAAAGCCCAAGGGCACTGCCAGAAATACTGCATTTGTCTTTGGGGCAGATTCCCGGGGACTGCTAATAAAGAGGTACAAGTGACTCATACAGGGATTAAGCTGCTGAGTGTTGCTCAGATGATGCTCAGCCTGCTGGAGAACTGGGATCACGCCAAGGCCAGAATTTGGCTCATTGCTCCTGAGTTTTTCCAAGCATCAACTTTTCATCAAGAATTAAATCAATCTGATGCTGATGTACAGATGAAACCCAACATTTAACTGAGTGTGCATTTTCCATTTTTACTAGGTATTTTTAAATAATGTGAAATTTCAGGCTGATAGCACATTTCGGAACTTCCATCCTAATGGGTACTTAGTTCCTTCAAGTTACATGTGTCAAAGGATGGGCTAGAATCAAATTACCAGCAGTAACGATAGTGCTGTTGGTGTAATCCTACAACATAAGCAATTTATGCAAACTGTTCTTGGCCTCCCAGTATTTTGCTGATATGCTACATGTGGAGCTATGCTAGAGGACAAAGGCACCTCAGGCAAAATAGCACCACAGAATCACAACCAAGTTTATGCCCTAAACAGTCATTTTAAAAGAAAAGTAAAAGCTGTTCAGATTACACTTACAATTAGCATATGATTTATAACAGGGAGCACTGAGCTGAGCCCTTTGCTAGAAATGAGAATAGGCATGTTCAAAGGTATAATGCTACATAATAATACAGTCTTGGCAGTAAAATTGTAACCTTGATTATTAGTGGTATTGTTGTGGCACTTAGAGGCCACCACTAAGTTGAGGCACCCTTTGTATTAAGTGCCACGCAAGGACA